ACACCCCACCACAACACAACACCCCACAACACTACACCGCACCACAACACTACACTCCACCACAACACTACACCTCACCACTACACTACGCCCCACCACCACACTACACCCCCACCAACACACTACACCCAACCTCAACACTACACCCAACCACAACACTACACCCCACCACAACACTACACCCCAACCACATACAACACCCCATCACAACACTACACCTCACCACAACACTACACCCCACCACTACACCCCACCACAACACCCCCCCACCACAACACTTCACCCCACCACAACACTGCACCCCACCACAACACTACACCCCACCACTACACTACACCCCACCACAACACTACACCTCACCACAACACTACACTACAACCCACCACAACACTACATTACACCACACCACAACACTACACCTCACCATAACACTACACCCCACCACAACACTACACCCCACCACAACATTACACCCTACCACTATACTACACCCCACCACTATTCTACACCCCATCACAACACTACACCCCGCCACTACACTACACCACAACACTACACCTCACCACAATACTACACCCCACAACAACACTACTCCCTACCACTACACTACACCCCACCACAACACTTCACCCCACCACAACACTACACCCCACCACAACACTACACCCCACCACTACACTACACCCCACCACAACACTACACCCCACCACAACACTACACCCCACCACAACACTACACCACACCACAATACTACACCCCACAACAACACTTCACCCCACCACTACACTACACCCCACCACAATAGTACACCCCACCGCCACACTACACCCCACCACAACACTACACCCCACCACATCACTACACCTCAACACCACACTACACCCCATCACAACACTACACCCCCACCACTACACTACACCCCACCACAATAGTACACCCCACCACCACACTACAACCCACCACAACACTACACCCCCACCACTTCACTACAACCCACCACAACACTTCACCCCAGTACTACACTACACCCCACCACTACACCTACACTACAACACTACAACCCACCACAACACTAAACCTCACCACTACACTACACCCCACCACAACACTACACCCAACCTCAACACTACACCCAACCACAACACTACACCCAACCTCAACACTACACCCCACCACAACATTACACCCAACCTCAACACTACACCCAACCACAACACTACACCCAACCTCAACACTACACCCAACCACAACACTACACCCCACCACTACACTACACCCCACCACAACTCTTCACCCCCACCACAACACTACACCCTACCACAACACTACAACCCCATCAACACACTACAACCCCACCACCACACTACACCCCACCCCAACACTACACCCCACCACCTCATGACAGTACCAGGAGAATCCGACCAATCCACCAACACGACCAATCCACCAACACGACCAATCCACCTACACGACCAATCCACCAACATGACCAATCCACCAACACGACCAATCCACCACCACAACGAATCCACCATCACGACCAATCCACCACCACAACCAATCCACCACCACAACTAATCCACCAACACGACCAATCCATCACCACAACCAATCCACCACCACAATCAATCCACCAACACGACCAATCTACCAACACGACCAATCCACCAACACGACCAATCCATCACTACAACCAATCCACCACCACAATCAATCCACCAACCCGACCAATCCACTAACACGACCAATCCACCACCACGACCAATCCACCAACACGACCAATCCACCAACACCACCAGTCCACCAGCACGACCATTCCGACCGACACGACCAATCCACCAACACGACCAATCCACCACCACGACCAATCCACCAACACGACCAATCCACCAACACCACCAGTCCACCAGCACGACCATTCCGACCGACACGACCAATCCACCAACACGACCAATCCACCAACACGACCAATCCACCAACACGACCAATCCACCAACACGACCAATCCGACCAACACGACCAATCCACCAACACGACCAATCCACCAACACGACCAATCCACCAACACGACCAATCCACCAACACGACCAATCCACCAACACGACCAATCCGACCAACACGACCAATCCACCAACACGACCAATCCACCAACACGACCAATCCACCACCACGACCAATCCACCATCACGACCAATCCACCACCACGACCAATCCGACCAGCACGACCAATCCACCACCACGACCATTCCACCAACACGACCAATCCACCATCACGACCAATCCACCAACACAACCAATCCGACCAACACGACCAATCCACCAGCACGACCAATCCACCAACACGACCAATCCGACCAACACGACCAATCCACCATCACGACCAATCCACCAATACGACCAATCCGACCAACACGACCAATCCACCAACACGACCAATCCACCACCACGACCAATCCACCACCACGACCAATCCACCAACACGACCAATCCACCACCACGACCAATCCGACGAACACGATCAATTCACAATCACGACCAATCCACCAGCACGACCAATCCACCAGCACGACCAATCCACCACCACGACCATTCCACCAACACGACCATTCCACCAACACGACCAATCCACCAACACGACCACCCAACACGACCAATCCACCAACACGACCAATCCACCAACACGACCAATCCACCAACACGACCAATCCGACCAACACGACCAATCCACCAACACGACCAATCCACCACCACGACCAATCCACCACCACGACCAATCCACCAACACGACCAATCCACCACCACGACCAATCCGACGAACACGATCAATTCACAATCACGACCAATCCACCACCACGACCAATCCACCAACACGACCAATCCACCATCACGACCAATCCACCAACACGACCAATCCGACCATCACGACCAATCCACCAACACGACCAATCCGACCATCACGACCAATCCGACCATCACGACCAATCCACCATCACGACCAATCTACCACCACGACCAATCCACCACCACGACCAATCCGACCATCACGACCAATCCGACCATCACGACCAATCCGACCATCACGACCAATCCGACCATCACGACCAATCTACCACCACGACCAATCCACCATCACGACCAATCTACCACCACGACCAATCCACCACCACGACCAATCCACCATCACGACCAATCTACCACCACGACCAATCCACCATCACGACCAATCCACCATCACGACCAATCTACCACCACGACCAATCCACCATCACGACCAATCTACCACCACGACCAATCCGACCATCACGACCAATCTACCACCACGACCAATCCACCATCACGACCAATCTACCACCACGACCAATCCGACCATCACGACCGATCTACCACCACGACCAATCCACCATCACGACCAATCCACCATCACGACCAATCCACCACCACGACCAATCCACCACCACGACCAATCCACCAACACGACCAATCCACCACCACGACCAATCCACCATCACGACCAATCCACCACCACGACCAATCCACCACCACGACCAATCCACCACCACGACCAATCCACCACCACGACCAATCCACCACCACGACCAATCCACCACCACGACCAATCCACCACCACGACCAATCCACCACCACGACCACCATCACGACCAATCCACCACCACGACCAATCCACCACCACGACCAATCCGACCATCACGACCAATCCACCACCACGACCAATCCACGACCAATCCACCACCACGACCAATCCGACCATCACGACCAATCCACCACCACGACCAATCCACCAACACGACCAATCCACCACCACGACCAATCCGACCATCACGACCAATCCACCACCACGACCAATCCACCACCACGACCAATCCACCACCACGACCAATCCACCATCACGACCAATCCACCACCACGACCAATCCACCACCACGACCAATCCACCACCACGACCAATCCACCACCACGACCAATCCGACCATCACGACCAATCCACCACCACGACCAATCCACCACCACGACCAATCCACCACCACGACCAATCCACCACCACGACCAATCCACCACCACGACCAATCCACCACCACGACCAATCCACCACCACGACCAATCCACCACCACGACCAATCCACCACCACGACCAATCCACCACCACGACCAGTACCAGCCATACTCCGGGTATGGCTTCCGTACTCGACAAAGAATGTTGACAAGTTCAGGACTTAAGAGCAAGCCACGAGAAGTAGTGTACATAAATCTCTTTCTCTAAAGGTGATTTAATCCATATGAAGACCATGACAGTGGTGAAGCACTTTCAGATTGCACTCACATTCACGTGACTCTCCGAACATTGACTCTAAAAGTACGTGGCAACGGATACACACTAATGACCAGACACGGCAGGCAGTAAATATTTGGTAAACACTCGGAGTCCGTGTGTGTGAGGTGAAGAACGAGGCTACCACCCCAGCCCGTCTTCCTTATAGCGCCGCGTATTTTGGACGTATATTCCTCCTAAGACCAAAATCGTCATTCTAGAAAATAGAAGAGGCTCGCGACATTGACACATTGTCCCGTTTTCTGTGTTGGGTCGTCTGGTAGGTTAGGATAAGGGCACTTTAGCACGACAGTTTCTTGACGCTGGGAAGAGTCGCGTCACATTCAGGGACTGTGAGTAAGGTTAAGGGCGATACTACCCCATTAAGAGCTGACAAACAACGTTGTAAGTAAAGTATTAGCGGGTCATAATAACACATGACAGTGTTGCTTCAGGAAGGCAAATACTGGACTTGCTATTTAATACATTGTCAAACAATAAATTATTAAATGATCAAAACTTTCTTGGTGAGATTCTGCGATTGACTCTACATGGACCTTAAGGAGACAACTGGACACCAGAGAGTTGTACACTGGACAAAACAAGCTTATGGCCACTCAGATGACAGGCGTTACAACACCGCCAGGGGTAACAAAGGTACACATTTACTCACGTGGAACCACACGGATCATGGCCTGGGCGGAGGCCTGGCCGGCCACGGACTTGGCCACGCACTTGTACACTCCGGCGTCCCCCTCCGTGGCACTCCGTACCGTCAACTGTGACACCAACACCTTCTGTTGTCCCGTGTCAGGCCGCCGTGGCCCCTTCTGCTTCCTCTTGTTACTGCCTCTCTTACCGCTGCTGCTGCTTCTGCTGCTGCTGTCGCTGCTGCTGCCGCTGCTGCTGCTGCTGCTGCTGCTGCTGCTGCTGTTGCTGTCTCTGCTGCTGCCGCTGCTCACACTCTTGCTACTGAAATGTAATTACTTTATAAATAAACAGAGACATATTAAAAAAACGGTAAAGGTAAAGGCGATTTTAACGGTTACTTTTATTGTACAGTCATGCACCACATGTGGTCACTGGCACAACCATGCACCACATGTGGTCACTGGCACAACCATGCACCACATGTGGTCACTGGCACAACCATGCACCACATGTGGTCACTGGCACTGGCACATGAGAAAAATATTGAAATTCTGAAAATCTTGGCTTATTACGCAAATAGGGACTTGCATAGTAGGCCAAGAACTGCGTTCTGGCTACTAGGTACAACATATATATATATATATATATATATATATATATATATATATATATATATATATATATATATATATATATATATATTTATATATAGGTTATATATATATATATATATATATATATATATATATATATATATATATATATATATATATATATATATATATATATATATGCGAACAAGCCTGAATGGTCCCCAGGACAATATGCAACTGAAAACTCACACCCCAGAAGTGACTCGAACCCATACTCCCAGGAGCAACGCAACTGGTATGTACAAGACGCCTTAATCCACTTGACCATCATGACCGGACATAATGAGGTGATAGCCAAAGCTATTTGAACCACCCTCCATGAACCATGTGTTCCTCACGTGTGCCCCAAAGAATGAGGTGATTTGGTAAAATGCTATGCCCAAGATTACTATCCGAGTGCCGGCGGTGGGGTGGTTCAAATAGCTTCGGCTATCACCTCATTATGTCCGGTCGTGATGGTCAAGTGGATTAAGGCGTCTTGTACATACCAGTTGCGTTGCTCCTGGGAGTATGGGTTCGAGTCACTTCTGGGGTGTGAGTTTTCAGTTGCATATTGTCCTGGGGACCATTCAGGCTTGTTTGCATTTGTGTTCCTCACGTGTGCCCCAAAGAATGAGGTGATTTGGTAAAATGCTATGCCCAAGATTACTATCCGAGTGCCGGCGGTGGGGTGGTTCAAATAGCTTCGGCTATCACCTCATTATGTCCGGTCGTGATGGTCAAGTGGATTAAGGCGTCTTGTACATACCTGTTGCGTTGCTCCTGGGAGTATGGATTCGAGTCACTTCTGGGGTGTGAGTTTTCAGTTGCATATTGTCCTGGGGACCATTCAGGCTTGTTCGCATTTGTGTTCCTCACGTGTGCCCCAAAGAATGAGGTGATTTGGTAAAATGCTATGCCCAAGATTACTATCCGAGTGCCGGCGGTGGGGTGGATCAAATAGCTTCGGCTATCACCTCATTATGTCCGGTCGTGATGGTCAAGTGGATTAAGGCGTCTTGTACATACCAGTTGCGTTGCTCCTGGGAGTATGGGTTCGAGTCACTTCTGGGGTGTGAGTTTTCAGTTGCATATTGTCCTGGGGACCTTTCAGGCTTGTTCGCATTTGTGTTCCTCACGTGTGCCCCAAAGAATGAGGTGATTTGGTAAAATGCTATGCCCAAGATTACTATCCGAGTGCCGGCGGTGGGGTGGTTCAAATAGCTTCGGCTATCACCTCATTATGTCCGGTCGTGATGGTCAAGTGGATTAAGGCGTCTTGTACATACCAGTTGCGTTGCTTCTGGGAGTATGGGTTCGAGTCACTTCTGGGGTGTGAGTTTTCAGTTATATATATATATATATATATATATATATATATATATATATATATATATATATATATATATATATATATATATATATATATATATATATATATATATATATATATATATGTCGTACCTAGTAGCCAGAACTCACTTCTCAGCCTACTATGCAAGGCCCGATTTGCCTAATAAGCCAAGTTTTCATGAATTAATTGTTTTTCGACTACCTAACCTACCTAACCTAACCTAACCTAACTTTCTCTTCTACCTAACCTAACCTAACCTATAAAGATAGGTTAGGTTAGGTTAGGTAGGGTTGGTTAGGTTCGGTCATATATCTACGTTAATTTTAACTCCAATAAAAAAACATTGACCTCATACATAATGAAATGGGTAGCTTTATCATTTCATAAGAAAAAAATTATAGAAAATATATTAATTCAGAAAAACTTGGCTTATTAGGCAAATTTGGCCTTGCATAGTAGGCTGAGAAGTGCGTTCTGGCTACTAGGTACGACATATATATATATATATATATATATATATATATATATATATATATATATATATATCTTATACTGAAGAACAGTATAAGATAACACGTTAACAGAACAAGTGAACAGTCTCCAGTGGTTCAAGAAGCGGCCCACTACAGCCTCTAGAACTGCATACACACATTCAACTTGTATACATACCCGCCATGAACTTGTATACGTACCCGCCATGAACTAGTATACATACCCGCCATGAACTAGTATACATACCCGCCATGAACTTGTATACATACCCGCCATGAACTAGTATACATACCCGCCATGAACTTGTATACATACCCGCCATGAACTTGTATACATACCCGCCATGAACTTGCATACATACCCGCCATGAACTTGTATACATACCCGCCATGAACTAGTATACATACCCGCCATGAACTTGTATACATACCCAAGTATGTTCTCAAGTATGTTGACCACACTTCTGTCTAGAAGAGAAAAAGCGTTTTCTAGCAATCAAGGAATTGAGAGACAGTACAATAATTGATTCCTTACGCACGATTAACTGTCCTTACCTGATGAATACAGATCATCTATTGGTCCATAGCGTCTGACTCATCATGCACGCTACTAACTGCCTCACCCCTCGAACAGTGCATCGTATTTAGACGTCAAACTCTCGAACGGACAAAATATAGCGTACTACACATCAAACAGCATCATTCACATTCTTGTCTTCTATGCCTCGGTCCATCGGATAGTTTTGGATAGGTTAGGTTTGGCTAAGTTAGGTTAACTTAGGGATAGGTTAACTTAGGGATAGGTTAACTTAGGGTTAGGTTAACTTAGGGTTAGGTTAACTTAGGGTTAGGTTAACTTAGGGTTAGGTTAACTTAGGGTTAGGTTAACTTAGGGTTAGGTTAACTTAGGGTTAGGTTAACTTAAGTTCGGCCAGTTTTGTAAATAAATTTTGTTGCGTTGTGACTGAGGAAGGGTTGTGTACTCAGTCCAAGACACCACAACACTGTCCCAGACACCACAACACTGTCCCAGACACCACAACACTGTCCCAGACACCACAACACTGTCCCAGACACCACAAGACTGTCCCAGACACCACAACACTGTCCCAGACACCAGAACACTGTCCCAGACACCACAACACTGTCCCAGACACCACAACACTGTCCCAGACACCACAACACTGTCCCAGACACCACAACACTGTCCCAGACACCACAACACTGTCCCAGACACCACAACACTGTCCCAGACACCACAACACTGTCCAAGACACCACAAGACTGTCCCAGACACCACAACACTGTCCCAGACACCACAACACTGTTCCAGACACCACAACACTGTCCCAGACACCACAACACTGTCCCAGACACCACAACACTGTCCAAGACACCACAAGACTGTCCCAGACACCACAACACTGTCCCAGACACCACAACACTGTCCCAGACACCACAACACTGTCCCAGACACCACAACACTGTCCCAGACACCACAACACTGTCCCAGACACCACAACACTGTCCCAGACACCACAACACTGTCCCAGACACCACAACACTGTCCCAGACACCACAACACTGTCCAAGACACCACAAGACTGTCCCAGACACCACAACACTGTCCCAGACACCACAACACTGTTCCAGACACCACAACACTGTCCCAGACACCACAACACTGTCCAAGACACCACAAGACTGTCCCAGACACCACAACACTGTCCCAGACACCACAACACTGTCCCAGACACCACAACACTGTCCCAGACACCACAACACTGTCCAAGACACCACAACACTGTCCCAGACACCACAAGACTGTCCCAGACACCACAACACTGTTCCAGACACCACAAGACTGTCCCAGACACCGCAACACTGTCCCAGACACCACAACACTGTCCAAGACACCACAACACTATCCCAGACACCACAACACTGTTCCAGACACCACAACACTGTTCCAGACACCACAACACTGTCCCAGACACCACAACACTGTTCCAGACACCACAACACTGTTCCAGACACCACAACACTGTCCCAGACACCACAACACTGTCCAAGACACCACAACACTGTCCCAGACACCACAACACTGTTCCAGACACCACAACACTGTCCCAGACACCACAACACTGTTCCAGACACCACAACACTGTCCCAGACACCACAACACTGTCCCAGACACCACAACACTGTCCCAGACACCACAACACTGTCCCAGACACCACAACACTGTCCCAGACACCACAACACTGTCCCAGACACCACAACACTGTCCCAGACACCAAAACACTGTTCCAGACACCACAACACTGTCCCAGACACCACAACACTGTTCCAGACACCACAACACTGTTCCAGACACCACAACACTGTCCCAGACACAACTACACTGTCCCGGACACAACTACACTGTCCCAGACACTACAACACTGTCTCAGACACCACAACACTGTCCCAGACACCACACCACTGTCCCAGACACCACAACACTGTCCCAGACACCACTACACTGTCCCAGACACAACTACACTGTCCCAGACACTACAACACTGTCTCAGACACCACAACACTGTCCCAGACACCACACCACTGTCCCAGACACCACAACACTATCCCAGACACCACAACACTGTCCCAGACACCACAAGACTGTCCCAGACACCACAACACTGTTCCAGACACCACAAGACTGTCCCAGACACCACAACACTGTCCCAGACACCACAACACTGTTCCAGACACCACAACACTGTCCCAGACACCACTACACTGTCCCAGACACCACTACACTGTCCCAGACACCACAACACTGTCCCAGACACCACAACA